AGTCCAAAAAGAAAAAAACAGGTCACGGTTTAGGTTTAGTGGCAGGACCCACACAAGGTACAGTTGTGGTTGCTGTGGTTCCCGGTGAGAAAATAACTCCATTGAACAAGCATTTGCTGACCAAAAATTTTCAAGGGTACATTGAATCCAAGTTCTTTGGGGAGATGAAGTTTTTGATGAACGAAAGGATCAACAAACATGTCTGTCAGCAGGCCATCRAAGAAGGATGGGTCAGCAGCTGCCAAGGGTTCAGTGGAGACGACRAACTTTGTCTGTACTTGGAGAATACCCTTTTACCACAGGTGCTAAATAAAATACGACACAACACTCAGAGTTATGCAAGAAGAAAATGGCTTGGTAAGTGCTGAGGAATCGATTGGCCTCTGGTCGTGATGATGGTCTAACAATTGACAACTGCGATTTTGATTCATCATCCGTAACAGAGGACAGTGAAAAGGGAAAGGTCCCAGACAGATTTCCGGGAACATTGAGAGTTTCGGATTGGGACATGAAGGATAAAGAGGAGAAGGTGTTACATCCAGACTACAGAGCATATGGTAGTGCAGACAATCCAGAGTTTTATTATTTTGTTACAAGAATTTTGGCATCTGTTAATGCTAGAAATAATAATTTCAACGGAAATACGAAAGGGACGGAGCACTTGCTCAGTAAAATTTTCACTGTTGAGGACGAGGCATTTGCACTCCTGATGCTTTACAATGAGCTTCACGTATGGGAGTCCGCCCTTAGGAAAAAGAAAGACGGATCACTTAAGTTGGAGCAAAAAAGATTTTGTGATGCGAAAAGTGGAAGGAGAGATGGGTGGGCTCAAGAGGGAAAGGTACTGTACCAAAAGTTGTGTGCTGAGATTAAGGAACTTYGACAGGACCCACACRCGKGAGAGGCCTTTGAGAAACAGATGCGAGAACGTTTCAGGGAAGAATGTAGAAGGAAGAACGGTAGAGCTGTACTACCAACAAGCTCGGAAGCAAGGGTTGACGTTACCATGATGGATGACATTTATGTTTGTGAACGATTCAGACACCTAACTGATACAACTRTACAGTGTGCCAGAGACGATTTAATCACTGGAATGGTGGGGAGTGTTGTGGAACAAGTTTAGTAATCCVAAAAAGTGTTCGTAGAATTCATTTCAATAACATAGTAGTACCACAGTTAGTGGTTTAATTTCTCATCCGAAAGCTGGGGATTGCCACAGGCAAAACAAAAATTCGACACTAYAGAAAAGGGAATCATTGTAGCACAATAGTGATTACAACGAGTTTATTTCAGAGTAATACTATTTACGTGTGTACATCTTGCATTTTCCCTCRAAGAGTCGTGGTCCRAGGTTACTGTCATCGCAACAGTTGAGGTTGTGTATCGCAACCCCCCAAAGTAAAAATATGGAGTGGAGGATGACCGAGTATGGGTTGAATATCGGCAGAATAATCTTGGTGYGCAGAGTGAATGCGCATTGCAACGTAAAAATAATCACAAATAGGGGGTCGTCAGTAAGCTTGATAATCATAACTTCACCGTGTTAAGTGGTCGCACAAAAACTTCATGCGCGGGGTTGCAACCAAACCCCGCGAATACTTTTTGTGACGTACTACTACTAGTAACAAAGTGGTGGTTGTTGTTCCCACCATCATTGTTGTTGATCCAACGTCACGAACGATGTCATCATTAGCACAATAGAACAAGAACACAGTACAAAATCTACAGAGGTAGTTTCCAAATATTCTGTGGCACAGAACCAATTCTGCTTCTTTCTCAGAAGGCAAATCATGCTGAACATGTTGGGGAGCAACATTCAGTAGAGCTCAGTAGAATTTGTACTGGAAAAAATGATGATGGCATCATTAAATTTGGCTCAGACACGGCAAAAGTTTCGGCTCATTTTTACAGGTAAAACCCGAACGATCACAACTATGAAAACTGAACAAATAATTCTAACAAAATGACCCATGAAAAAACACGTGGGGTACCGGTAGTACGTACTTACGTCCAGAAGGAGGTACCGGTAGGTCTTGGGGTTGAGTACCGACTACGTACGTACAACAGGTACGAGTTCGTACGGTTTTCGATTGTGGGTCCAATCGATGAGCGGATGCTACAAAATAAAAAATAATACGGTACACCAGTAGTCAGATACAAGATACTGTGCTCGTGAAGGACTTGAAAGTTAGACCATACACAGAGTATTGTAACTTGATTAGAGGCAAAGAACTCGCTCAATTGTCCAGAGGAGTACCGATGTTCGCATCCTCATCTACCCAGCGCAACCCATCCGCTACGAATACAGCGACGTCACGGAGACACAAGACGACGTCGTCGATGGAGAAGAACGATTACAATGCAAATGAGGGCTTTGGTCCACCCCCGACGAGGCGAAAAAGACGCACGAATTCCAATAAATTCTGCATTCGACGTCGGAACAATCTTCTTTGGGCGACAACAGTCGTCGCCGCTACCACGGTTTTTTTCATCGCTCTCGGTCTCTTTAGCTCCAACGTCGAATATTACGAGATCAAAATTAACGAGGCCAAGATGAAAAGCAACCTTCGAGTCGGAGACGAGGAAAAGAACATCTGGGCATCTCAGGATTCCCAACCATTTGTGAGTCTATTCTAGTTTGGTGAACTCATTTGCTGATCACCATCACGACCACGATTTTAATGGTTCTTGTATTCTGAATCGAATGGCACTCAACCGAATTTTTGCACGATTCTTTCCATCAGAATGAAGATGGTTTAGCGGTGAAGGCGCAGCACCTTGTAATGGTGGCGGGGCATTCTGTCACAGTTTCCGACCATCTCAGAGACGCTGATAGTGACGAAAAAGATTGGTTTTTGTTGAGTTAGTAAGTTAGGCTCTTGCTACGTTCATTCGTGTTCCTCCTCATTTTTTTATTGAAAGCTCCAAAATTATGCTTGGAAGAGTTGTTTGACTTGAATCATTTCAATTTTGTGAGCATCGTACAATTTGCGACAACCTCGTATGTTTGTGTTTTGGTATCCGTGCTTCTCTCCTTCGCAAAACTCTGCTTTGCCAACACAGCTAACCGTTTCTTCCTTCGTTTCCTCTCGGGATGCGTTGTTTAAAAAAGCCAAAAGGGGCGAGGCCTCCCCCAAGCGATCCATGCCCACATTGCTGCAGGAATTGAAGAGGCCCGGAAGGATCCAGAAGCTCTTTTGGTGTTCAGTGGCGGCGAGACAAGAGCCTCCAGTGGTCCCCACACCGAAGCCCAGGCATACTACCACGTAGCAGACTCCATGAACCTCTGGCCCTCGGATCCCGGATCCTCTGTGCGAGCCAGGACGACAACCGAAGAGTTCGCGACGGATTCCTTCGAAAACTTGTAAGTAGTAGCCGAGCTTGCTTTCGTCTATCGATCGTACGAAACGAAAAAGACGAGCGTGCACCCGGTCTCAAACTCCTTTGCCGCGAATCCCATTTGTTCTATTGTTTCCTTCCGACGCTTTGGCAGCATGTTTTCCATTGCACGCTTTCGCGAAGTGACCGGAACCTACCCCAAGAAGATCACGGCGGTGTCTTTCTCCTTCAAGCGCCGGCGGTTCGAAACCCTCCACGCGCCCGCCCTGCGGTGGCCGTCGGAACGATTCGTGTACGTCGGCGTGGACCCCCCCGCTTCGACTGGCTTCGACCTGGAACAATCTGCGGAGGGGGAGCGGAAGAACGCGGCTGCTCCGTTCGAACAAGATCCGTACGGATGCCACTCGGAGGTTCTGCAAGAGAAGCGGAAATCCCGGAATCCCTTCAAGAGGACCCCACCCTATGTAAGTATTCCGTGAATCCGATCCGATCCAATTCGGTTCGATGCAATGCAATATGTATCTAGTAGCATTTGTGTCGTTCCATCCGCCGTGCCACGCTCACATCCGGCTTGCTCGTTCGTTCTTGCAATTGTGCCGCGGATGCAGCCGTTGTCGTGTCCCGATATGAAATACTTGCTGGGCTATTGCGGACCAGAACTCGTTCCCAGCGATCGAGTCCCCTGGGACACCGATCCCTGAGAGACCGGACGGAATCGAATCCGTTCCTCCGACGAAGGCAGCACACGACCGCGTTGCCGGGGGCCAAGCAAACAACAGCCTTTGCAGCTCGTCGCTGCTGACGTCCAATGGTGCGTCTCTCGCCCTCCGCTCCAGCCGCCCCCCCCTCCCCCTCCCTTTCGTTTGATGGTGGTGTGGTTGTCGGAACAAGGCTCCGTCGGTTGCATACGTGCGTACGGACGTGCGTTTGTTGCGGAGAGGATTTCGCGGACCCATCGGTTCCGGCGCAAACCGGGCCGCACCGTACGGAAGGCTCTGCCAGCAACTCCGCTCCCAGCGGAGATTCTGTGACCAAACGGGGGTTCCACAAACACGGGGTTTTCTGTTTGGTGCCGCTCGCCATCGGACCCACCATACCACCGCGATGGAAACATCTGCGCCGGGCCTGTTCGAAAGAATGGTTCGTTGTTTCGAGTGCAATCCGCTTCCATCGCTATGCTCACATAGCATTCTGTGCGATAATTCGGTTCCTACGGTTCGCACCTGGCGAGGGATATGTATACATTTCAAGTATAATATATATGCATCTCCGGGCCCTCTATGCTCGAAGTCGGTGCGTGCGGCTAAAAAACTGCTACTATCTTACAAGTAATTATAACCGTGGTTGTGATTCGAATCGTAGACTATCGCGTACTATTCCCGGTCCTGCAACTAGTGGTGGTGGTGGTGCTCGTCCTGGGACCACTGGATTTCCTTGAGGTCGATGCCCTCCTGGACCATCTCCCACAGGGGGCTCATCTCTCTGAGGCGGACGACGTGCTTCCGGAGGAGCTCCAGGACAAAGTCCACCTCTTCCTCGGTCGTGAACCGGCCGATCCCGAACCTCAGGCTCGAGTGTGCCAGCTCGTCGTCCACCCCCAGGGCCCGCAGCACGTAGGAGGGCTCCAGGCTCGCCGAGGTGCAGGCAGACCCCGAGGAGACGGCAATGTTCTTGAGGGCCATCAGGAGGGACTCTCCCTCGACGTAGGCAAAGCTGTAGTTGAGGCAGCCCGGGTAGTTGTGGTCGGGGTCGCCGTTGCGGACGACGTCGGGGATGGATTCCTCGATGCCCCTGCGGAGCTTCTCGGAGAGGTACCCGATCCACTCCTCGTCAAAGGGCCGTTCCCGGGCCGCCAGCTCGCAGGCGTGGCCAAAGCCGACGCAGAGCGCGTGGGGGAGGGTCCCGGAGCGCAGGCCGCGTTCCTGGCCGCCCCCGGAGAAAATGGGCTCGAGGCGGACCCGGGGGCGCCGCCGGACGTAGAGGGCCCCGATCCCCTTCGGTCCGTAGATCTTGTGGGAGGACATGGACATGAGATCGATCTTGTACTCGTCCACGTCGAGGGGCATCTTGCCGAGCATCTGCGCCGCGTCGCAGTGGAAGACGATCTTCCGGGACCGGCAGAGCTCCCCGATCTCCCGCAGGGGCTGGAGGGTCCCGATCTCGTTGTTGACGGCCATGACGCTGACCAGGATGGTGTCGTCCCGGACGGCCGCCTCGAGGTCTTTCATGTCGACACGACCGGTGGAGGCCTGGACGGGCAGGTAGGTCACCTCGTATCCCTCCATCTCGAGGCTCCGGCAGCTGTCCAGAACGCACTTGTGCTCCGTCTGGGTGGTGATGACGTGCTTTCCCCGTTTCTTGTAGAAATGGGCCGCCCCCTTGATGCTGAGGTTGTTGCTTTCCGTCGCGCCCGAGGTGAAGATGATCTCCTTCGGGTCGACGCCCTTCCGGCGGCCCCGCTTCTTCTTGGGCGCCCCGCTCTCGGTTTGGTTCTCGTTTTCGTTTTCGCTGTCCTTTGGATCCCCGGAGATCAGGGCCGCGATCTGTGCCCGGGCCTTCTCCACGGCGGCCTCCGCCTCCCACCCAAAGGCGTGGGTCTTTGAGTGGGGGTTTCCGTAGGAGCCCACCATGTAGGGTCCCATGGCGTCCAGGACGCGGGGGTCCATGGGCGTGGTCGCCGACATGTCCAGGTAGGCCGCCCGTCCCTCCCGGAACTGCCCCCGGATCGAAAAGGGGCTGGGGCTTCCCTCGGGGGACGACAGAAGGGACTCCGGGACGTCCGTCGTGGGCTTGTACCGCTTGTCGGTTTCCATCTTTTCGAAGGAGACCGACGAGGGCGCCGTGGTGGTGCCGGAACCGGAAGAGGCACAGCGGCGTCGGGCATGGGAATAGGCCGAGTGCCACCGCGACCTCGCGGCGGGAAGAACCCGAGACAGCATGGTGGTTTTTCGATTGGTGGTGTGTGTGTGTGGGGGGGGGAGGTTTCCTGTGGTTGCGTGGGCTTTTCCTTTGTGGTTGTGGTTGTGGTTGTGGTGAGGGCAGCGATTGGGGTAGAGCGACTCCGAGACAACGAAGCAGGGTCAGCGGTTCGAGACAAGCAGGATCGATCGGACCTCTTTCGATCACGGGTCTGGTGTCGGAATCGTTGGGTGTGTGTGTGGGTGAACAGCGACTGTGTCGTGATGAGAGGCAAGGATGGAGAATCAATCAAAAAATACTTCTATTTCTGATACCGTACCATACGTACGGTACCGTACCGTAGGGTTTCTCGTATCGTCGAACCGTCTCGTCTCACGAGAAGATCCTGCGGTGGCTGGTTTCTCCCAGTTTCTGAGAATGGGTTCTTCGTCCCTGTAGGATTCGTACGCTACGAGAACGGTACGGCACGAGCCGTACGATATAGTACTACGGTAGCTACTGTATGGATGCCCTAATTCATTAATATTACGGTACTATCGTTTGGCTGCCCTCCCCATCGATCTGCGGATCCATTCGTGATTGGAAACTTTGCTGTGATTCCTCTGTGAACATCATGCGAACCATCGGTTCGGAGTTCTGGTATCCTGCTGTAATAATCGACTATCATGTGCATAGTACGTATGAGTACGAGTATCGTAAGACTTTACGAGCTCTTTACCGTCGGAGCGAGGCAACTACAGTACGGGACGGTAACTCTCTTGTACGAGTACGTACGAACTCGTAAGATTAGAGACGTTGGAGGTTGGAGAGGCGGAGTCATTCTTGTTTTCATGCCCTCTCAAAGAATCGTTCCACCCACAATCGAGGCACAGTGTCGTGTACCGTACGTACTCGTAGTACTGGTACTACTGCTACCGTTTATCTCTTGCAGTTTTCGTACTGCCGTGCCGTACATTAGGGTATGATAGTGGCTTTTTGAACTGCATCCCGTTCGACGCCATTACAATTCCCAACACGACAGGATCGACCTTGTTCGGTACCGTGCAAGCATCGAGCAACCAGCAACGCAACACAACGTAACGCAACGAAACGCAAAGCAGACCAACCGAAACCAAGCATTCGAGAAGGGCACATCCACATCCACGGCGACAAGATGATGAACTCTACGACCGACGACGAGTTCGGCGCCAACCCCTTTCGCATCGACGGGGGCGCCCAGCCCGACATCTTCGCCCCGGTTCCGCAACAGCAGCAACAACAAGCGCAGCAGCCGCAGTTCGCCCAGCCCCCGCCCCTCCAGCAGCCGCAGTTTGCCCAGCCCCCGCCCCTCCAGCAGCAGCCGCAGTTTTCGCAGCCCCCGCCGCTCCCGCAGCAACCACAACAGCCACAAGCACCGCAGCAGCCGCAGTTCCTGCCGCAGGTCGTGCCAACCCCGGTGGCCCCGTCCAACCCCAACATGCCGGCCGGCCTGATGGCTCCCCCGATGACCGCTGCCGTTCCGCAGCAGCAGCAGCAGCAGCAGCTCCCGGCGCAGCAGGCGGCACCCCTCGGGCTCTGGGGGAACTGCAAGGCGTGCCTGACCTTTGACTCGTACAAGGTCTATTTCGACATCGACGCCGACGACATTGTCCGGCGGATCCGGGGATCCCTGATGACCTTTTACAAACCGGAGCACTTTCGGAACAACATCATGGGGCCCGTCAAAACGGCCGAGCTCAAGGGACCCGATTTGTACGGGCCCTTCTGGATCACCATGACGCTCATTTTTTTCATCGGGGTGAGTTTGGGTCTGTTCTGTTCTGTTCTGGTCTGTTCTGTTCTGGGCCCGAGACGTCAACTAGACCAGACCAGACCAGACGAGGAGAAGGCAAAATTCTTCTTGGTTTGGGACCCCACCCGATCGTAGCTCGCGCTGACCCGATTTTTTTGTTTCTTGTGCTTCTTGCCCTCTCTTGGTGTTTCTTTCGCACTCGATGCAACACAATCACAAAACGACACAACGCAACGCAATGCCAAACGATCCGTCCGCCACGTATGTCCCACAGGTCACGGCGAACATCCACGGCTACGTCCACCGAAACGACGTCGAGGAATTCGATTACGACATCAACCACCTGCTGCACGCCGCCTCGGTCCTGGTGACCTTTGCCTTTGCCCTGCCCGTGGTCCTGTGGATGACCACCCACTGCTGCATGTCCATGAACGCGCTGCAGCTCGCGGAATGGCTCTGCATCTACGGGTACTCMCTGGTCCCCTACATGCCGGCCGTCGTCCTGTCGATCATCCCCCTTTCCCTCGTCGCCTGGATCACCCTGGGCATGGCCACCGGGGCCTCCTGCCTCATGGTCATCCGGAACGTCGCCCCGGCCCTCCTGTCGTCGGACACCTCGGGGACCGGAAACGGGATGGGGGGCCAGGCCAAGGGGCCGCCGATCATTCTGGTCATCCTGGGCTGCCACCTGGTCTTTTTTCTGGTCCTCAAGTTCACCTTTTACCACTTTACGCCGGCGCACTCCACAGAGGCGCCCTTTGCGGCCCCCTCGATCGCCCCGGTGGCGGCTCCCGTCGCGGCTCCCGTCGCGGCCCCCACCGCGGACCCGTGAGTTTCCGGAACGAGGGGTGCGGCCGATCGATGCGGCGGGCGGGCGAGCGAGCGAGCACCGGGGAACGAACGGTGTGCGGTGCGGTGCGCTGCGCTGCGATGGTCCACTGGCAATGTTTCGTAGCACGGTACTTCGTACAGTACTTTGTCTTGTGGATTCGATGAACGAACCGAGTCGCGATGCTTCCGGCATGCAACAGCAAACAATGACGATCACAACAGTGCAGTGCTCTTGTACAAAACGTAACGTATCAAGTCATGCAACAAAACGAAAATGCATAAAACAGGAACCGCGGTTTGCGTTCGGGCAGACGCGAGGATATACGTACTAGTAGAACAAATTGTGTTTTAGTAAACTGCAGGTATCACTGTTACCACTAATGCATCTACGGCAGCATAGCTTTGGTATCCCGGGGTGTTTTTGGTTACGGTGGCGCGTCGTCCCCGTACGCGGCGGGCCGGATGTCCTCTTCCAGCCGGGTCCAGATGGCGATCCCCCCGGACCCGCCCCGGGCCACGAGGGAGGTCTCGCTGGCGGCGAGAAAGACAAAGGCCGGCGGCCGGCGTTTCTCCGCCTCGTAGTCGGTCCGGCGCTTCCCGAGGCCCAGGGCCCTGCCCGCAAAGCCCGGGAGGCTCCCCGTCACCCTCTTCGATCCCAGAAAGACGTCGTCGATGCCGATGACCATCTGCCTCCGCCGGGTGAGGAGCTCGTGCCTGCCCCGGAGCGAGAGGAGGACCCTGTGCTCGTTGAGGCCGACGCCGTTCCCAAAGGTGGTCTCGTCCAGCATCGCAAAGGCAAAGACCGGCACCGGCTTGAAGGTCGTTTGCCTCCCTCCCCCCGTTGCCAGGACCAGCTTCCACGATCCGTAGGCCCTGGTCCACAGGTCCTCCTTGGAGGCCTCGTCCGGGTAGACGTGCCTCGCGTTCTTGTCGATGAGGCGGACCGCCTCGTAGAGACCCTCGACCGGGGTCCCCGACCCGGAGGAACGGTCGATGGCCGACATGGCCTCGGCGTATTCCCTGCTCGAAAGGGTCACCCTCTTCCTCTCTTTCGGTTTTTGTTTTGACGCCGCCGACGGGGGATCGGGCGTCCCGGGCACTCCGGGGGACCACCCGTCGCAGCCGGGGATCCTGTACGAGAGCGCCACCGCCAGCGCGAGCGCCAGGATCCGGGCGAGGCCGCGGGGGGATTTCCTTCTTGCGTGGGTCCGCATCGCCTCTGTCTTCTCGTGTCTCGTGTCGTCCCGTTCTCTGCTTTGCTGTGCTGTGCTGTGCTGTGCGGGGATGCTGAGTAATTGATCGGAAACCGACCGGACTCTGCCTCTGTCTCCCAAAACGTTCCTGCAATGGTGCGACGACTAAACTGAGTTTAAGATTGTCTTTCTGATTTCATGCAACTGCTTCTGTACACTTTCTGATTCTGATTCTGATTCAACTCTTGAAAATTCCCTTGAAGTTGCCTACTCGGAAAATTTCTCAATTTTTTTTTTTCGAAAAAACAGTAGTTTGGGGGTTATTTTGTTTTGAATTCCCCGACTCAATTCCCCCTAGCCATGCATGAGTATTGTTTCCCAAAGATATCCAACCGGAACTTCTTTTGGGCTTTGTCGATTCGTTTTGATGGCAAAAATTGATTTTCTTCGGTTTCGCAGTTGTTCGATTCGAATAGAAGTACTGTACTCTACTCTTACTGTGCTTTGGAAGATACCCGGACTCCCACTCTTCCCAGTCCGCGTCTACCATGCCCCTTTCGAGCACCCACGACACGACGACGACGACTACGACGACGACGACGAGTACCCGCTACGGGGCAGACACCGCCGGCTCCCAAACGAAATCCTTGTCCACCCTCCCGGAATCCCCCGAAGCGTCCCGCGGGTCCCTCGCTTTCGCCACCTCCCGGCTCGTAGCGGGCCGGTGGCAGCAAGGGGAACCGGGAACGTCGATCCACCCCGTCCTCTGCTCCGAGGTTCCCCTCAGCTTCTGGGGGGGAATCGACGAGCGCACGGGGGTCGTCATCGATTCGTCCCACCCGCTGTGCGGCCTCGACACCTCCGGATCGATCCTGGTCCTCCCCTCCGGGAGGGGCTCGTGCACGGCCTCGCAGGTCCTCCTGGAGCTCATCCTGAACCGGAAGGCCCCCCGGGCACTGGTCCTCCGGGACCGCGACGGGCTGGTCTGCGTCGGAGCCCTGGTGGCGGCGTTTGCTCTGCCCAACGACAGCGAAGCGGGCAGCGGCGGGCGGGTTCCGATCCCGGACGTGCTGCGGGTGGAGGATGGCCCGCAAACCGGGGACGCTTCTGGCCCCGCCGCGTCTTTTGGCGCCCTGGTCGATTCCCGGCCGGGCTACGGCAGCGTCCTCCCGGACGGGGGCCTCGTGCTGGGCCGGACCGAAGAAGAGGTGGAGGAAAAACTCCACCGCCTGTCGCTCTCCCGGAAAGGCCACGCGGACCAGGGAGACGGCGGCGACAATAAAAACGACGACGACGACAACGACGACGACAATCGCTTCGGGGCCTCTGGCTTTGCCTTGTCCCCAGAGGAGCGACGGATGCTGGACGACAGCTCGACCGACGCCGAACGCAGGGCCGTCGAGGTTCTGATCCGCTACGCCCGCATCTTGGCACCGGATCCCTCGTCCCCGCCGGCCTACGCCGACGCGAAAAAGGCGCACATCGACGGGTGCACCTACATCGGGCCGGGCGGCCTGCGCTTCGTCGAGGGCCTGGTGGAGGGCGGGGGCCGCGTAAGGGTGCCGACCACGCTCAATTCCGTCTCGACCGACCTGGGCCACTGGGAGGCCCTGGGGATCGAGGACGACCCCTCGAACCGGAACTCGATCCGCCAGGCGGAGGCCTACGTCGCGCTGGGCTGCTCGCCGGAGAGCTTCACGTGCGCCCCCTACCTGCTCGGGGGAAGGGGGTCCACCGCCGTTCCGGAGCGGGGCGAACAGATCGTCTGGGGAGAGTCCAATGCGGTGATCTATGCCAACTCCGTGCTCGGGGCACGGACGGAAAAATACGCCGACTACCTCGACATCTGCTGCGCCATTGCGGGGAAGCTTCCGCTGATGGGGGTCCACCTGGACGGGCCCCGGAGGCCCACCGTGGTGCTCGAGATCGAAGAGGGCGCACTGGATCCGGAACTCGGAGGGGGTTCCCGCCAAGGCCACGACGCCGAAGCCGACGACGCCGAGGCCTCTTTTTCGTTGCTCTTCCCCGTCCTGGGCCACCTGTGCGGAAGCCTGTCGGACGGGGAGGTCCCATTGCTGGTGGGCCTGGAGCCCTGGGCGGAACGGGTCACTGGGGACCACCTCAAGGCCTTCTGCGCCGCCTTTGGGACCACCGCTTCGTCGCCGCTGATCCACGTCGCGGGGATCACCCCGGAAGCCCGAGGGGCCGGCGTGGAGGAATGGATCGCATCGGCCGGGCGCTTCGAGACAATCACGGCCGACCGGCTTGGAGAAACCTTCGATCTGCTGGACCAGCGCAACCACCCCGGGAGCAGCGAGCCCGAAACGGTGGACCTGGTGGCCCTGGGAAACCCCCACCTCTCGCTCCCGGAAGTCGACGAGCTGCTCCGGCTGGTAGAAGACCGGGCCGGCACGGAGAAGCGGGGCGGCGCCAGGATCCTGGCCTGCATCTCCCGGGCGCTCTACGACCGGTCGCCGAGCGTGAAACCGCTGGAGGACCACGGCGTCACCTTTGTTCGAGACACGTGCTGGTGGGTCTTGTGTTTGTGCGCTAGGCCTTTCCCTCTTTCGACGAACCCCGGTGTCTTCCACCGGTTGGGTGGAGACTCTCTTTGATTTCGTCCCCCTGCTCATTTCTGCTGCCTCCGTTGCTTTTTTCCAGGTGCATGCTGCTCGATCCCCCGATGATTCCGTCCGATCCAGACGCCACAATTTTGACCAACTCGGGAAAGTATGCGCACTACGGTAAGCAAAGAACAACACCGCACAGCACAGCACCGCAAAACGAAACGAAACGAACAAACACAGGAATGATTTTTTACGGCGGATGGACCAAGGATGTCGCCGACTCACACACGCACAAACACAAACACGTTTTCGTTTCGTTTCTTTTTCTTTTCTTTTGCTTCGTTGGTTGGTTCGAAAACGAACAATGCACGGAACCCGCAGGCCCCGGCCTGACGGGCCGGAGGTTTCGGCTCGGGACCATGAAGGATTGCGTGGGTGCCGCATGGACCGGAACCCTACCGAGGAAATCCCACGCCCGCGACGTGCCCTGGAGAAGGACCGGGCGTCGATCGTTTTCGTCGGCGGCCACCGGTGCGTTCCAAAAACAACGGGGGATGCCGCTGGGGCCGGGCCGTTGCGGCTTGGTCCAACGCGCACTGAAACTCTTGCGATGACATTCCCGTATGCGGAGCTAGAACACACCACACATTCCAAAAAGACATGCCACAAAGCGTGTTGCAAGCACGATTCAATAGGATTCGGAATGGAATTATATTATTTTAAAATACATCAATATTTCTTACAAAAAGGTCGGTGCCATTGGTGATATTCTTGGTCAGGACTGACAACAAATCAGTTGGAAAATGTTGGTACTCGTTTTGTTAGTTTGAAAGGCAACCCCCAATATCTTCAAAGCAGTACTGCCTGGCCATACCCGAAACTCTCGCTGATTGGTGCAATCTTATTGGAGGTCCCGAGCATAACCGCTAGTCTATCCGCAGTCGGTATATCGTCTTCGTTGGTGCGAGTCGGTTTTGGGTTCGAATGGGTTGGATCTATCCATAATGTATTGAATTGTTCGTCCTCGATAGATTTTTCATCTTCCGAAAGCGTTGCAATTATTCGGTCTTCGTACTTGTCGGGCCCATCGAGTTCTTGACTTTGGACTCGGACTCGCACACGACTTACGGAGGAATGCCGCTTCTCTCCACCAAAACTGCGAGGAAAGCGGTAATTGGTCCAGTTGATCGAACTGTAACCCTTGGCCTTTGCGACATACATAAGAGATACCGCTGCTACCGCCAGAGACAGCAGGATTGCAAAAATCGAACCCAAGATCTTTCCTACCGATGTTCCTTTGCCTTCGTTCTTAGCCAATTCGTCGTCAAAGGTGCCGATGCTGTTTTCATCGAATTCCAGCGGTCCGTCGTCGTCGTCTAGGCCGATGGTAATTGTTGAGGAACCCGTTGATATAGGCAAATCATTGTCCTTCGTGTCGATTCGTTGACCAAGATTCAATGCCACGATCCGACCATCTGCGGTTCCAAAATACAAGACATGACCATCGCTCGATAGATCAAAATTGGCCGAGACGGGAGGATCTTGGCATTCACCCGCAGCAAGAGTCTTCTTGTCACAGCCAAAACTCCACAGTATTTTTCCATCCGTCTGGTCGATTCCGTTCACTCTCCCGTTTCCAGACATAATCATGTACAGGCGTTTGTTGTCGGGAGAGGCCTTTGGTTCTCCCAACAGGGGCGAAGATTCCCTTGTCGTGACCGACCACATTCTGGATCCGTCCTTGGCGTCCAAACAAATTGTTTCGTTACGAGCCGACACAACGAAGAGACGTTCTTCGTCCGCGGACAAGACAGGGGCCGTGGGGATCACAACGTCTTCGGAATAAGGTAGAGACGAAGCATTGGTCCCAGAGTTGAAGGGAACCAATCGAGTCGCCCAATCAGCGGTTCCGTTGAATTTCCCAACACCATTCCATCCCCGAACCGCATTTCCTGTCACCCCGACGTAAAGGTTCGTTCCGGCTTGGTTCATCGTGGGGCGAGCGATCGAATTCCATCGAACCTTTCTCAACACAAAGACTTGGAATGGAGTGTATGTATAGCTTGTGACATCCTCCTCGTTGTTTGAATTCTTGTTCTTCAATTCCGCTTCCGCATCGGACGAGGATTTCATCTGGAAGCTATAAATGTTACCGAGTCGTCCCCGTCCTTCATCATCGCTGCTGGTCCAAACGACAACATCGTTTTTGTTGTCCCGGGATCCTCCGGAGTACTCTCCTCCTCGAACAGGGTTGTGGGCGACTTGCGGGGGACCGTATCCCTTTGGGACCTCGTCGCGGCTCCATTCCGATTGCGTCCACTTAACGTGTCCAGTCACCGAATCCAAGACGGTCAGATGCCCAGTGGTCCGAGTTGTGTTGTCGGGCCGAATCAACACACTGTTGTGAGTCAACACGATGTACATACCATTGTCAACCTCCTCCTCGTTGGCTTCACGTGAAGACAAGGAAGATAGGGCCGCCGATCCCACGTCGTCCGCATAATAGACCAATGGCGATCCATTGGGTGTACCAGGCAATCCCGCCGACATCCATAATATCTTGTGCTCCGGAATAGATACACACACCACCCTCGTTTTGGGCAAGAATCGGGAATCACTCGGAGCGTCATCGACTACGGAGTATACCAAAAAGTCCAGTTCCTCCTTCTTCCCATCATGTTCAATTCCATTGTTGAGCAGAAACTGGAGGTAGTCGTTGTAGCCATTGTCGTCATCGCCATTCGTGTGGGTTTCGGTAGAAATGTCTTCCGCATCGCGAAAGGTTCCAAATGCCATTCCAGAATTGGAATAGAGAGACCAGGTTGATGTAGTTCCTCCTTCTGTTATTGTCCGAGGAGCGGGTCTCACTCGATCGAGTGGCATTCCGTTGGAAGCCGACAGTACTCGCAAGTCTCCCGCCTTGCTGGTCGCATACAGGATGCTTTCATCAAAGGGAGAAACACGTACTTCATTGCCCTGAAGGAATTGATCCTCGGAATCTTCTCTTATCCACAAAGTTTCGGGCAGATCAAGGTAATCGATCTTTATAAGGTTCGTGGTTGCGAGGTTCAGAACACGCTTTTGCCGCAAATGTGTTTTTCGCTTCGTGATTCCCGGTGATTTCATCGCATCGGCCTGGGGTATCTGATACTTGTGCTGATCTTTTTGATAACACGCGAAGAGCAAGGCAACCCACAGCACGACGGGAACCAAGTGTTCTCGAAGAGCACTGCGGCGATGCCTTTCTATCGTTCGTGGTTTGTCTCGCGTCGCAGAATCACCATGTTTCGGCAAATCGTGCACAGGGTCGTTTGGCTGCGGCCTCCTTCGTTTCCTTCCGGTAGCATCTTTGTCTTCGTTGTAATAGCAGCAGGAGTTGCTGGTGATGTTCTCGACGAACAATGATGAAAGTTCCGATGTCATCTTCAAGAATTTCTCGCTGCGGCAGTTTCCCTCGTTAGTATCCCTCGTCAAGCAACAAAAATGGCTTGACGGAATTCTATGGTTTGTTACAAGTCTTCGATTTTTGGTTCTACAAGCTCCGGTATCTATCTCTGTTAGAAGTAATTTCTCAGAAGTCACATCAGTATGCATAGTTGGGATGACGACGGTTCCTTTCACCGGTAGGGTACGTACTACCCGTAATAGGATTATCGTACTTTGGCAATGCTTGGGCTGCGATAATTTCCCGTGCGGTTCTATCATGGTACTCGTACCGTCTCTTACGGTACTCCTAGTACTAATCATACGAGTACCTTTACATCGCAGGCTGTGCTCTTCCAAACGGATTTTCAAAACAAGCAGATGTCTGACATGCTACGGTACGAGTAGTACGAGAGCTAATACGAATCAATGATCAGGCAGTTAGAACCAGGCATGCCGAGAACAATTTAAAACCACCGAAGCAATCTTAAACAAATCATTTTTTTTTGGCGACACGCGCACGATCGTGTCTTGTGTCTTGTCGGAGTTGATTTTGATTGATTCTCCTAAAAACTCCAAACCCCGAACCCCTTCCTCCCCTCCCCTCCCCGCTTCTGTCATCCTCCCAAGCAAAAATAAGGGTTCAAAATCAAACTGAAAACGCGCAGAAGATACGGTGCTTTTCCAAAATCACTAAAACGGTACGTACCGTCCTCATACCATGGGATTGCGGATAGCGTCGCCTCGGTGGACGAGCTCCGAAGACCGACAGCCATGCCAACGAGGGACGAGCTGCTGCCCGAAATAGCCGCAACCATTCCGGACGCCGCGGATCAGATTCTCTCTCGCTCCTATGCTTTGTATCGGGTCGACGGAGCCACGGCCGCAAACCTCCGAGCCGCTCACCGAGCCGCCGTTGGGTTTTTCCAAGAAGCTATGCGGGCGGGTTGCGGCTGCGAGAGCGATCGTCGCAGCAGCGGTGGGAACTCTGGGGGGTTGATTGAGCGGTTTCGGCGGATCGTGAACGGAAACTTGTATGGCTACAACATCCCTATGCAAACCAAGGAACTCTTTCGAACCTGGCACCATCCTCGATCGGGTTTTGGTTCGGAACCAAACGGGGACAAGGGGGAGGAGGGAGCAGAAGAAAAATTGTTTTCCCAACAGCAACCGTGGCCATCGAGTGAGTTTTGTGTTCGATCCTTTCGCGTCGCAAAGGATCTCGACCAATTGCTTTCAGAGTGCCTATCGCAGATAAAGATAGCACTGGGTCACCGTCTTCAAGTCCACGCTTGCAATTCCGGTAGCGCGAAACTTCTGTCGAGCAAACGGCGACAGCCTGTATCTCTGGAAGATTCGGTGCCCAAGCGTCGCCGAACATCCCTTGCTGGCATTGGCAAACCGATCGATATCGAGAGCGGGCGGGACACCCACGTGGACTTCCTTCGATCTGCCGGTTGCCCGCTGGACTACTTTTTCTACCACAACCGCGTTCCACACGCCACGAATTGCAGCGAACACATCGACCGCGGTGCTCTCGTGGCCGTGTGCCTCACGGACGTCCCGGGGCTGGAGGTCTGTGCGTCGGCGCCTGCGACCTCGTCCGAGCGCTTGTTTTTGTGCCCCGAAGTCCTGGTGCATAACGAGAGTCTCTACCGGGAACGCTCGGAGAATTCTAGCTGTTCCGACCTAGTGTGCATCATGGCGGGGGATCAATTGTCTCGGGTGCTGCTGCCTCGAGAAAACAACCACGGTTATCCACAAAGAATAACTCCTTGCGTCCATCGGGTGCGAAATCCGTTGAAGCGTGCGAGAGTATCGATATCGTACGAGCTGAGATTGGACGATCCTTAGAAATGGTTTCGATTCGATCAAGGGCCGAAGCAAGCTACCACGGCAGAGTGCATGAAAATGCCTTTTTCGGACTCTGGGATTCTACCATTCGAAGTATGGGCCCGACCATTGACAATCTTCTTTAGGAACAAAAATAATCGTTTCAATGCGTTGAGTACCTAAGTTTGTGGCGATTGTTCATTTACGGCGTCGAGGGTGAGTGTTTTGGAACTACTATTAACGGATTTTACCGGAAAGCCGTCATGGAAAATCGGTGCGGAACCATGGTTGCGTTTCAAAACGAGATGCCTGCTGTACGGCACGACAGACACAGTGGAAAGCTGTCGATAGAAAATATGAGCTCGTGAGAGCTGAAAGCCGTCGAGGCAATCACCGATTTGATTTATCGGGTCAATGTTTGTTTTTGCTGATCTCCAATATATAATGGGTAAGATTGTGTTTTCGAGATCCGAGATGAAACCAAAAATTAAAGTGTCAAAAATGCAAAATGTAGAGCCAATAATAATAATTTCTGGCCTCACGACCTGCAATCGAACTCATTGATGAACGCGGCTTGACAGCATTGTTACCCATATCTTTCCTCTCCGCTATCGAAAGAACACCCGCACAGACTCTGCTGGTGAATAATACCCCCATAATACTTTATTACCGAGAAATTGTTTCAATCAACAAGTCGGATTCATTTCTTCTTTTCACTATCTCTGTCGTCCTCGTATCTGCGAAAGACAAGCGACGCATTTGTCCCACCGAAACCAAAACTATTGCTCATTGCCATTTCAATGTCTGCTGTAGGTCGGATTCCTTTCGTGCCCGTAACATGAGTAAACAAAGAGCGATTTGTGCCGTTTCTATTTACTTCGGAATCTACAGATAGGTTCAAGGTAGGGGGTATCCTTTGATCCACTAGGCTCATCACGGTAAACGCCGCTTCTAGCGCACCAGCTGCCCCTAATAAATGGCCGGTAGCTCCCTTCGTAGAACTCATATAGCATTCCAAGGGTGGATCCATGGCTTTCTCGGAATGCCCCAACACGCGATCTACGACCGCTGCCTCAATTTCGTCGCCCTTCGGAGTCGATGTAGCGTGCGCGTTGATGTATCCAATCGGAACCTCGCTATTCGAAACATAGCTGTCTTCTTGTAGCGCAAGCATCATGGACCGTTCGGCTCCCCGCCCGGCTTCGTCGGGAGCGGTGACGTGGAAAGCATCACCCGTCGCAGCGTATCCGGTGACCTCGGCAAGGATTCTCGTGGTGGCGATTCCCTTCTGACCAGCATCGAGGCGCATGCGTTCCTTCGCGTGTTCGAGTTCTTCCAACACTAAGATTGCCGCACCTTCTCCCATCACGAATCCATCCCGATCTGGATCGAACGGCCTCGATGCCTCTTCCGGTGTGTCGTTGAACGAGGTGGACAACGCCCGGAGGCGGCTAAAGCCCGCCAATCCCAGGGGTTCGATGCTCGCTTCCGCTCCACCAGCCAGCATAAGGTCGGCGGCGCCGCTTTGAATCGCTCGCAAGGCGTCGCCGATAGCGTGAGCACTTGCCGCACACGCGGTCGACGGAGCGAGGTTTGGACCCCGCAGTCCGTATTCCAGACTCAAGCGTCCCGCAGCCGAATTGGTCAACACCTTTGGTATGAAATGAGGCGAGAGTTTGCGGATCCTGCCACCACCGACGATATCCCAAGCATTTCCGATTTCTCTCACTGCACTCATCCCACTACCGACACACACACCAAAGCGGTTGCGGCGGTGATTATAATTATAGGTTGGTTCTCGCATCCCCTGCTCTCTGTTTTTGTCAACGTTGTTCAACCAGTTCAATAGATTGGCTTGTCGCATGGCTTGAGACCCTGCCAACAAAGCCATTTGAACAAATCTCGCTGTGGTTCGAGGGTTCCAACTCAACGAATCGCCACTGCTTTCTTCCTTCTTGCCTGCACCTTCGAGGAAGGCCTCTTCTAGCCCACGAACTGGTGCCACTACCTGACATGGCAGAGAGCGAGCGATCTTCCATTCCCGCTCAAAGCGATCGGGAGACAAGTTTTGGAAACGCAAAAGTGTTTCTTCTAGGGACATTGCACCACACTGCGATCCAGTGCCCTCACAATCCATGTCATCACCGACGAGCTGCTTCCAGGCATCCTCCAAAGTGTTGCCGAGAGGTGAAACCATTCCGATCCCTGTGACAACTACACGGCGTGGACCGCGGTGAACACCGTCAGCCAACCCACAGAATCTTTGCATCTTTGCCTCTTTGTTTATCTTTCGTTTTGATAGATTCTCTATTTCGTCGATAAAGGGCGGGGCAATGCCGGTCTTGGGTCGCTCTCCCTGATAGCATAGCTTACTATAGCTAGTGGCTGATGGCCGATGGTCGTTTCGTTCCCGCCGACAGAAAAACGGTTCTGAGAGGGAGAGACTGATCTGTTCGGCTTCAGATTTTTTTTCTGTACCGTGCGCTACTGTAAGTACTGGGACAACGTAAGTAAGTACTGTACGCGTGACTTTTTTGTAATCAGAAGAGATGTTCTCACAGGGCCCTCCGGAACCAACACGCGCGCGTCCCCCCTTTGAAATCTAGTATCGTGTTTTTTTTTCAAATAAAATAACCCACGTTTCTAAAATGTGGGTTATTTTTCACAAAAAATAACCCATGATTCTAAAACGTGGGTTATTTTTCACAAAAAATAACCCCTGCTTTAGAACATGGGTTCCTCTACAGTGCAAAAATTAAGTTATTGCTAGTAAGGTTGAAGTTATGCTCTAAAAAGACTGGTGTTGTGTAACGTAACATTCTACGTAACGTTAGGAACGCTACCATTAGGAACGTACCGTAACGTTTGGGTCAAGCGGTTCGTAACACAAACGTTAGTAATGTTTTTATGAATGTTTATCCTGACCATTCATAAAGTAAAACTCAAATGTTAGTAACATTTTTACAAACGTTTACCCCCACTGTTCCTAACATATTTGCATCACACCACTTGAGAGCCTCCATAATAAATATTGTGACAGACCTTTGTTATTGTTTCAATAAGTTATGTTCTGCTATTCCCAGAGTACACTCAAAATGCCGGGTAAAAGTTCAAAGTAGAAATTGGCCTTAGTCAAGATAATTGGAAGTAAGACAGTTAACAAGAATGATCCACTCCAGTGGTGGAAAAAGCACCAGGGAAGTTATCCAATTCTTGCAAGGCTGGCCAAGATCTATCTTCCTGTGCAACCCACTTCAGCCCCTTCTGAGCGTGTCTTCAGCCACACTTCCAGACTCCTCTCAGCAAGGCGCTCCCGCTTGGATCCAGAGTATGCAGGAAAAGCATTCTTTGTATCTAAACACTGGGAATGGTTCGAGAAGCAGGTTAATTTGGCAGAGATTGAGATGGCTGAAGCAGATGGTGAGCATGCTTATGATGAGGAGTAAAGGAGGACTAAGAGGAGGAACAAAGACTTTATTTGTGTCAAATCATACATTTGCGGGTCAACTAATGAAAGGTGTTTGCTGAATGGTCCT